GGGCCTTCCTTCCTCGGCAACCGCCCCTGCCGCGGCGCCGTTCCGCGGGCACCACCGGCCGGCCACGCTTGTAACACGCACTTACGGCCCAGCCTCGCCCTCGCTGCAGTTCAACTGGGGCCACCGCCGCACCTCGGGCCGCTACGACGCCGCCCGCCAAACGTCTTCCAGTTCCTTCCTGGACCTCCCCTTCCCGCGTCCTTCGTGGCCCAACCGCGACCCCGCCCAACCGCGCCGCCGTCAACAAACTCGGCCCTCGTACCCCGGGCGCCTTCGCCGCCCGATGCCGCCCCGCGCCCGCCCGCATACCCCCGCCCAACCTCCCGCCTCGCTGGCGCCGGCGACCGGGGCGTGCTCGACCACGTCAGGGACATGTGGTGGCTGAGCGCTGCGGACGACACTCCCTACGACGGCAGCGGCACGCTGTACGATGCCGTCACGGAGCCCGTCTACCGACCGCAGGCTGGGGCGGAGGAGCGTCATGAGCAGAGGTAGCACGGGCGGCTGAAGAGCATAATACAAGCCAGCCGGTTGCGCATCGCTTCCGTGCGCTTTTCAATATGCTCTTTTCACCTCACGTTGTCTCGAGTCGTCTCTTGCGTCATGTTGAAATGCGTCTTGCTCGTCACAACACAGCCCGAAATACACCATCTACCGTCCGCCACGCAACACACCGCGAAGCTACAAAAATCATCAATAGCTCTCAGTAGCTGCTGGGCCGCGTCTGCCAGAGATCGCGCCCTCTACGTCACTCGCGCAGCCTGCCTGTTCGGTGCCCCAAACCCGGCTGTCCCTTTTGGCGGCGGCAGAAACGCGCCTGAACTCTATCGAGTCAAGGACCATCTCATCCCCCCTCCGCCCAAAAACCTTGTGAACCACAGACCCCTCATTCACCAAACCAAAGTAAATGCAAATAAAGGGCCCTAACCAAGTGCTGCCGAGAAATAGCCCTAGAAAACCATGTCCGTCAGCTGGCCTTCCTAAGTAGAAAACAGACTGTCGCAGTCTTTGGCTAGCGCTGCGATGCCGGACCCTGAGCTCCCAGGCCAAGGACCTCACTCGAGGTAGCGAACAGGCAGAACTGCGAGGCGCGACGCCAGGCCGGCACACGAAGAGGTGGCGCAAGGGACGAGACCATTAACCCTCGAATGGTCTGTATCGAGCGAGTCTGTTCCTCAGAGGCTACTTTACCCTTCTCTTGCTCTCCCTTCGCCCTCTTTTGAACCGGACCCTGCGTGGAGACGGAGACTTGGTTTTGCGAGGAGCGACATCCGCAGCGTCTTCCTGTAAGGGGCGTAAGGGCTCGCCCGCGATCTCTAGTCGCCAATCTTGAAGATAACACCATATACTACACTATCCGTGACCTGCTTGCTGTCCAATTTTCTGCAAACACCTGCCTCGGTCGGTGCATCATTTTCGCAACCTAAATGATCCTTGCGATGCACTGCATTTTCCATTCCTACTCATATCGTCTTGCCACTGACCGTACCGTTGACTCGGGCCCGTGGCTACAAGCTCCAAACTCTTAGCACCTGGCGCTAAGTACGCTGGTCTCGTCCGTGCCAGACACGCCGCGTCTGAAGAGCGTAAGAGCCACCCGTGCCCGCCACGGAGAATCCCAAGCAACGAAGTCTAGTGCGAGTTGCACAGCAAGTTTTCGTCTCGGTGACTGCGCCTGTTGCCTGGTCTCTGAGGCTTGTCTTGTTGTGCTGTTCACCGTGTTCGCTGCCGTAGAATCCGCGCCGGTTTTGCCTGTCGCTGTGCTTGTTTGTAAGATCAGACTGATTCTCGCCCCTTTGCGCCTCCGTGTAGCCCAATGCTCTGACACATCCTACTGTTCAAATCTGGGAAGCCGAAAAAGGCCCTTGCCACGCTACCGGAATGATGATACACCGTATCCCGCCCGGAAGCAAACAACTGAGTCGTGATATCAGTCATCATCGTCCACATGCACACCATCATCACCACCCATCAACTGCCGGGACGCCCGTCTCCCGCCTTCCTTTTCACAGCCGTGGTATCCGCCGCCGAACCTACGCCGGCCAAAGTCAGGTCTCACTTCGCACAAAGGGGCAGTGAATTTCCCTAGGGATACTAATTCGGCCACGCTGGCGCCGTCGATCTCTCTGGGGCCGTACTAAATCTGTAGGTCGGTTCTCCACGATTGCCGGTCGCGCTGCCTCCCGCTACAAGGGGCCGTATTCGCTGGCCGCTTGGCTCTCCCACCCCATGCCGCACCAGCCTTGCCTGCTTCTCCCCCTTCTTGTGGTACGCCGGAGCTTCACAATGCACAGTCCCGTTGGTCTGGCGGTTGGCGGGCGAGTTACCTCCCAACACGAGGTGCGGGCCACGCGGTGTACCCCATCGAATCGATGAAGGACAACGTCCTCCCTCGTACAACGTCTGCAGAGCATGAACATTGTCCATGTTTAATGCTCCCGTGGCCCCGGGCCAGCATATGGTTGCGCCCGGCGGGAACACAGTTTCGTGTGTCACAACCGCGCTCGCTGTGAACTCTACTCACGAAGGCCTGGTCACTGCGTGCGCTCGCCTGTGGGCAAATTTCATCGAGGCCAAAGCGTAGAGCATGGCTTAGCAAGTTATGGAAGAGGAGCTGACCGGCGCCAGGGTGCTTGACGAAACAGCAGGTCGCCGTCACTCGCGCTGCGCCAAGGGTCACGTTGTCGCCTTGCCAGCTGAGTGGATTTGCGCCGTGGACGGGAGCCTGTTGTTGGGCATGACTGGGAATCTGGAATCTATGCTGTCGCTCGGACTGGTCGCCAGATCAATGAATGAGCAGTCTGTTAATGTTCTTCTGCAAGGATCGGAGCTGTAAAGAGGGTGTTCCCGACACGCACGGATCTTCCAACCTGCGTGGCTTTCATCGCCCCAATCTCAACGGGGGATCGATCGTGTGGCGAGACTAGACCAACGAAGAGGCCAGTGCTGCATGGTCATGCTTGGCTGCACACAGGCACTCTGATCCCGTCCACCCGGCTTCAGGGATGGCGCACGTCAGGGAGAACAAAAGAAACGTTGAGAGAGTCTTGACGGGCAGATCACTGCAGCTTCAAGTGTTCTCGAAGCACTAAAGCGATGCAAGCAAGGGCGAGGCTTGCGAAGGACCACCCTCTTCATCGTGGCCATTCCCATGCCTCCAACCGGATAGGCAGCCCTTTCCTGCTGTGCTACTTCGAAAGCGTGAGCAAGGTTTCAGGCACCACCAGCAAGCCCGCTCCTCCGACCGGTGCGACGAGACATGCACTAAGCCGCCGCGACTTAATTTGGTCGTCGCCACTTTAGTCTTGGGCCACAGGGTCAACAAGGGAGCCGTCAGGTTGGACGAAGATGGCCAGAAAACGTAGTCTTCAGCATTTTGCCCATCATCCATCCCTGCCTGCGCACTAGTCAGTCTAAGCCATACGGCTTCCTTCGTTGTTCTGTTGCTATCGGTCGGAGACCATGCAGGCCACGCTACCGTCTCTTAGTTTTGACCGTCCCATAGCTGAGAGCTCCCGTGCCATCGTATGGTCGTCATCAGGGGTGTCCCACAAGGCCGTGTTGGTACAGTCGGGCTTCCCCCGCCGAATCGTGCTGGAACATGGAGTGTGTGGTGGAGAGTCGACAAGAGTCAGGTCAGAGCACTCACAGGCCCGCGCACTGGCGGAGAATGAACGGCTCGGTCCAGGCTTAATGGACGATGGAAACTCTTTGCTCCCTAGGGGCGTCCTGTCCTGCCCATACTGTTGAGTCTTGCACAGTTTGTGTCATGTTTCAACAGTAGACTGTGTAGTCCAAGTTTATATGGCGACGGACCGCTCGCTTCGTGGGCCTTTTGAGCCATTCACCCCAACTTCGTTCATCAGTTTCTGAAAGCAACCATGACGACCGACCAACACGCCTTTTACCACTTGTAATAGAGACTCGCGTATCAAAGGTTCTCGTTACCACAAGCCGTTGTGTACGCTCCTCGAGAGCTGCGGCTACCACCGATCGAAAGGATGAGGTTCGCACATCTCTCACCATTACTGCTACTGGCGGTGGCTCCGATGGTCGCCTGCCAAGCACAAGCCCCGGATCTTTTCAGTTTTGTTGACAGGATACCACAATGTGGCGTACGTTCAAGGCCCCTCTTCTCTCATCGTGACGATTTAGAATTCGACGAACTTTGACTGATACTGTCTGCTTTTAGCTGAGCTGCATCCTGGAGCAAGTGCCTTTATCGGCATGTGGCAGTCTCACGAACTCTACGTGCATCTGCACCGACGTTGATCTGCACAGGGCGACAGAAAAATGCGTGACGGAGAGGTGTACAAATGCCTTGGAAGGCATAGGTGTGTTCCGACTATGGAGGCCGTCAGGAGATGAATCGACCGACTGACTGAACTAAAGAGGTCGCAAGGGTGGAAGCAGAGGCGTGTCAGCGCCCAGTTCGCTCACGCAAGTCGGATCTTTTGGTACCGCTCATTATCGAGGTTCCTGCGTGGTTTTCCGTCTGGCTGCGACTCTACTCGCGCTACAGCATCGTCCACCGATTCGAGGCAGACGACTGGATCATGCTGGTCTGCGTTGTATGTCAGCGCGAATTCTGGCCGGAGAATTGACGGACTGACATTGCATAGATCATGAACACGCCCTTTCTCATCTTGGGACAGCACAGTGTGTAGTTTCGGAGTGTTTGTTGAGGCAAAAAGCTGACGGTTGCATTCTAGTTGGCATATCATGCTTTGGCGTTGACATATGGACTGTTGATGCCGACGACTTGACGCAGTGTCTCAAAGTAGGTTCTCTTCTCTTGCATGGTCCTCCGGTGGCCGAAAAGAGCGCGACTACTAAATGATGTCAGCTCTTCTACATCGACGAAAGCTTCTACGTCATTTGCTTGTCACTCGCCAAGTTATCGATCCTCTGCTTCTTCCTGCGCATTTTCCCGAACCGGGTATTTCGGATCATTACGTACTCGGTTATGATCTTTATCGGCATGTCGACGACAGTCTTTGTGTTCCTGCAGATCTTCCAGTGCTCTCCCATCGAGTACAACTGGCTAGGGTGGAAGGGAACGTTCGGCTCGTTCCGCTGCCTCAACGTCAATACGCTCGTATACACGGCAGCAGGCTTCAGTATCGCACAGGACGTCATCATCCTTGTGCTGCCTCTTCCGCTGCTCTTTGGCCTCAACATGTCGTGGCGCTCCAAAGTGGGCATCGTGGTCATGTTCAGCCTAGGGGTCTTCATCCTCATTACCTCCTGCATTCGCCTGCAGTACATTGTGCATTTTGCGCGGTCCACGAACCCAACCTGGGATTACACAGATACACTGATTTGGACGGGTCTCGAGGTCTCTGTGTCGCTGCTTGTGACGTCGTTGCCGGCCATACGCATGCTCGTGAACCGCGTCGTTCCGGATGTGCTCGGCACCCTCACGAGCAAGTACGGATTCTCATTCGGCAGTAAGAAGCAGGCGTCTGGCGACTCGACAGATCTGCGTTCTGGAAAATACAGCGATGCAACGTACAGAAACTCGGTTTCGGGTCTATCAGGTCGCCCGGCAGTCCCCGAGTCCCGTTTCAAGCTTTTCAGGGTGGGCGGCAAGGGGCAGATGAATGAAAGCGAACTTGAGCTGGGTGACAAGCTGAAGGGGGACGTCCAGACCGAGATTGGCGCAACTCCGTCCTCGTGGAGGGACGCCGGGGCTGACCAGGACCGACACAGTTCGATGGAGTCGGGGATTCATGTGCACACAACGACGACGGTGGATTCGGAATCAGGTTATGTTCCACAGGAACGAAGGCCTTCTCAAATGTGATAAAGTCGGCGTACAGTCGACATGGCATTCAGTGGTAATCATGCCGTTGGCAAGAGCATGGTTTGGCGTTTGGTGCTGAAGAGCGGCGGGTCTTGGGTTTTCATTTGTATGGCTGGGCGCCGACAGGAATGATTCGCTTCTTGAGATACCACCTGACATTAGATATCGCTGGCGAGACTGTAGAAATGATGCATCTCATGGTGTAGGTATTCCTTCGTGTGGTGCCGCTGCCATGTGCATATCTTCAGCGGGAATCGCGATGGACAGTGTTTGACGAGCAAGCGGATGATGGCCTTGCTGGGCAAAAGCTTTTGAACCCAAGGTACCTACCTAAGGTATATATGGTCGATGTAGGGTTGTTCCAACAAGGTTTCGTTTGCTCGGTGACGAGGTTGCTTTGGGGTCAAGGTCCGAGGCACCACAGCAGTACAGAAAGGCCGAGGCACCCGAAGCAGGAGCACGACAAGGCAAGTGGCAGGGGCCATCACAGGGGCCGCCACAGGGGGAAGGAGGTCCCTGGCGTGATTACCTAACACACGCTGCACTGCATCGTATCACGACATCGACACACTTTTGATGGAAACTCCGACCGAGCCTCAATTTCTACATGAATCATACATCGCCAACAGCTTCACCCGCCGCCAAGTGTCCCCTTGAAGTCCCGCCACGAATAGTCATGTCTGCCCCAGATCTGAACCCCGATGAGGTGGCACGCAACCGCATCACCTCACACATGAACCGCGCCCACTCGCGCGAGCTCTCGCACTACCTCCGCCACTACGCCAACCTATCCTCGCGCGCCGCCTCCACGCCCTGGCTCAAGGACATCTCCCTCGAAGCCATGATCATCGCCGCCGGCGGGCTCGGCGGCCGCGAGTTCGTCATCCCCTTCTCGCCGCCGCTCGCGTCCCTCGCCGATGCCCGCAGCCGCGTCATCGCCATGGACGCCGACGCCCGCAAGGCCCTCGGCATCCGCGACGTCTACATCACGGCCTATGAGCCCCCGCGCGGCTTCGACATTGTCGTCTTCGCCGCCGTCGCCGTCTACTTCCTCAGCTACGCCACCCTCGCCTTCGTCATGCCCGGCACCCCCTTCTGGAGCGTCCTCCAGGCCGTCTTTCCCGGCGGGCCGCGCTCCTACCGCTGGCTCGTCAAGGCCATCTTCTGGCCCGTCGTCGGCATCCACCTCGGTGAGGTGTGGTGGATGCACCGCTCGAGACTCGTGCCCCACGGTGTCGATCCCGGGAGCCTGCTCTGGTGGCAGTGGGTCGGCACGACCTTCTTCGAGGGCGTGTGTGCCTTTATGCGCCTCGACAGTGTCCTCGCCGAGAAGCGGAAGGAAAAGGCCGCGGCGAGTCACTAAAGGGGGACGCGGCGTGTACTCAAACGCAGCAGTATGAATTCTTTTCACATCTCGTGTCATGATACTACACGCGGTATAGCACGACCCAGAAAATAAAACATTCTACGTCGCAGCCAGGCATCCGTTCCTCTTTTCGCCCAACAGGCAGGAGGCATATTTCACATCACAAGACACATTCAATGCATATAAGATGGGAGTTTGGCGAATCCTTTCCATATTGTCTCATCTAGTCATACTGCTCATGAATCATCCATTCGTTCAGTCATTCAATCATCCCGGTCATTCGTCGGGTACGCTCAACGCCGACCCTGGGGGTATGCAATCCGCCTCCCTACTCACTGCTCAAGTGAGGTCCAAATGCTCGCCATCGTACTGTAACAGAGAGCCGAAGAATGCAGTTCTCGCTCGCTCGCCTTGCTTTCTCAAAGACAGAATACACGGAGGACAAGTGTCAACTCCCAAGCAAGCCCACCAAACGCCTCGCTCTATCACAAAAAGAAAATGTCATTTCTCTTCCTGCCACCCCATCAAGCTTGGGGGCCTCTTAGGCAGTGGCTGCATTGTTGGCAATGTTGCCAAGGTGCTTCTTGAAGGGGAGCGGAGAGAGAGTGATCGCACGAGATTTGCTGTTCCTCGTAGGCGAGGGGATATTAAGGAGATTCGCGACATGCGTCGGCAACCAGTCAATGCTGCTTGGGTCGGCCGCATACCCAATGCAGTCTACCAGAGCCGTAACAAAGCGGCTGACCTTGTCTACAAGGTCATGACAAGCCTTGCGCTCCTCAACGAGCTTTTCGCAACGCGAGGGACGCTCGACATGGGAGCGAGAACCACCCACGATGCTGAAACAGTCAGGCCTGAAGTTGATACCATACATGGCTAGGCCGAGGGCCTCAATTTCCATGTCTGTAATGGGAACCCAGCTCTCAACATTGTTCGTCGGCATGCGTGCTTGGATGGCCTGCGCGAGAGCCAGGCGGCGCGCCACGAGTTCGGGCGCCTCATTCGCGCTTTGGGGCACAATAGCAGCGAGCGTCTTCCACAGCTTCTCAATGACGCTGCGGCCCTCGTCGTAGATGCGCTGATGGTTGCGCTGCACAGTATTGTTCGTGCGTCCGTCTGAGGGCTTGGCCGCGTTGGGGTCAAACTTGTTGCACGGCATGCCTGCTGTGTGGCAACGGACGCACGAGTAGGTGTTCTCTTGGCGGTGGCAGGCCTTTCTAGACTTCCTGCACATCTCGCACGACTGGCTGCCAATCTTAGTTCTTCGCTTTTTGGCAGGCTGCTCGGTCCCAGGGCTCGTGCTTTCGCTGAGCGTTGCCGGTGACGTAGCCACCGGGGTTCGCTCGGGCACGCTCTCACTTACCATGGCGGGTAGGCTGGGGAGGCTGCTCAAGAAGGCCAGAGAGCGTGGGCTAGGAGCCCGCACGGCCGCGCCGGCAGTGGCGGTACCAGTGTCAGGTTCACCGCCCGACTCGCCAAAGAAGGCCTCGAGCTCGTCGTCGCCAAACAGGTTCTCAAAGTCACCCTCACCAAAGAGACCCCCAAACTCGCCCTCACCAAAGAGACCCCCAGACTCGCCCTCACCAAAGAGACCCCCAAACTCGCCCTCACCGAAGAGGCTCTCAAGCCCGGCCACGGGGTCGACGTCTTGGCCTGGATCTTGGCCCGTGGTTTCAACCACCGGACCAGCAGCTGCCACCGGACCAGCAACCACCGCAGAAGCGACCGGACTGTCAATTAGCCCTTCAGGGAGCCCAGCTGGAATCGACTGGCTTTGCCTATTGTTTTCAATGCGAGCCTGCAACCTGCGCCGGTTGGGTCTGCTGCGGCTCGTCTTGTTCGCCCGCTGAAATTCTTGACGCTGTGTCTGCACCGCTGCGTTGTATTCGGCCCTGCGCTGCTGGTAAGAATAGTCTTGGGCTTGGTAGTTCGTGGGGCCAAGGGGGGATGAAAGACCCTGTGCAGGGACATGCAAGAAGCTTGGCTGAGGTGCCATATTGCCCTGGGGTATCATCATGTTGCCTTGAGGCACCATGTTACCCTGGGACATGGTGGTGTCTTGAAGCACCATGTTGCCCTGTGGTGCCACGTTGTTATAGGACATGGCCATGCTGCCTTGGGGCATGGTTGGCCTTGAGCTATAGGCTTGAGATGGCGTAGAGGCAAATGCCGCATTGAGATGCGGGTTCATGCTCAGTGGGTTCATGTTGCCCACTGGCGTGTAAGTGTTGGGATTGAATCCCTCGGGCGTTGTGTTCCACTCTGCTGGAAGACCAAGGCCAGTCAACTGCGCATTGGCGTCGGCCTGGCCATTGGCCTCCCAGAACTGATTGCTGTTCATCTTATAGAGTCTAGTGTCTTGTTATTAGTATGGAGAGCCAATTAGGTATGAAATGACTCTTTACCTTGGAGTTGATGTCTTGGGATGGATGTCTTGGGATGAATATCTTGGGATGAATGTCTTTGACTTGAAGCGACTGTGTATGTAATATGATAGGCACTGGCTTCTCGCGGGAGAGCTACCGGGGGTGGTATGTAGAATGTGTGTCAAGAAGAAGAAGAAGCTCGAGGGCTTGTTATGTTTGAAGGCTTCGTAAAACGGAGTATCTGCCTTGTTCGATGCTTGATGTGTACTGCCAGAAGACTGGATCGTGACTGACTGTAGCTGACAATGTGATCAATGTGTACATGTAGAAGGGATGGAAATATTCATGGGAGTGCCGGGGGACACCCAGGCGGCCGCCCTTTAAATATCATGAGCAGAGCCATAAAGGTTGAGTATCAAGTTGGGATTCCATAAAGTGAAAAAGCCATATCGGATGAAGCTCTGATTGTTCTGGTCCCATGCCATTGCTGATGGGACAGATGGGACAGATGGCGGTCCAGCCACGTCCATGGGAAAAAGTCATTCTGGCGCATGCAGCACCCAAATGGTAGCTGGGTAGAGTTACTGAGGAGACATGGCGCAGGCAGCTGTTTACGGACTTGTAGTATGGACACAAGACTTTCCAATGGCCATGGGGGGAAAGAGCTATCGTCATGGCCCGGGCTACCTACCCGCAGAGGTCGGGGTGGGACTCGTCGAGAAGCCTTCTCCAACCAAGAAAAACCAAAAGAGAAAGAGAGAAAATCAGCAGAAAAGATTAAATAACATTTGCAGACCTTGGCCCATGGCAGCTGGCTCTATCTCCGACTATGGGGTAATGGGGCCATGAAGGATGCTGGGTCATCACTGAAGAGGCATTCGCCGGCAGGGCCAGGCGCTTTCAGGCGGGCAAAGGAAGGCGCTGGGGTGACCATTGAAGCCAGAACGACCTTCGTGACGGAATCTGGACTCCCACAGGATTGTCCAGAAAGCCATACCATTGAATGGCCTGCAATAACTGAACTGCACGTACGTTGATGGCATCCGCCAAGAACACAGGACGCCTCCAGCAACCATAGGGCTGAAGGCCCCTCTCGTAGGGCTGAAAGCATGTTCTGTCGGGCACTGAGCACCCCCCAATTGGCTGTGGTGGACGTCAGTGGATACACTGTGCTTTGGGTTCTCCCTCACACACTGCTCCCCTCGTTCTTTGTTCTTATTTTTTGTAAGTCTTTTTTGTTCCTCTATGGGGGAATTCTATTCCAGCGGCTTTTTTATTACCATCTTGTC